GAGATGAGCCAGTCAGAGTGCAGTATAGCAACAATAAAACATACACATTTCCTCTAGTTCTTTAATGCTTCAGCTCCCCCCAACTATCATAATCCCAATTCTACGTTACAAATCTGGGTAGACCAGAGCATGTACACGGGTACAGATAAGAGCTGGAAACACAGGGAATCCAGGACAGATGAACCCCTCAGGACCAATATTGAGAGTAGCGATACCAGGAGGTAAGGGGAAGGTGGGGGGAGAAAGGGAGAACCAATCACAAAGATCTACCTATAACCTCCATCCCAGGGGGGATGGACAACAAAAAGTGGGGAAAGGGAGACATCGGTCAGTGTAAGACATGAAAAAATAATAATTTATAAATTATCAAGGGTTCGTGAGGGCGGCAGGAAGGGGAAAATGAGAAGCTGATACCAAGGGCTCAAGTAGAAAGAAAATGGTTTGAGAATGATGATGGCAACAAACGTACAGATGTGCTTGACACAATGGATGTATGTATAGATTGTGGTAAGAGTTGTACAAGCCCCCAATAAAGTGATTTTTGAAAGCAAGAAAAAGAAAAGAGAGCTTTGCAGGTCTGAGGGCGTGACTGCAGGCTGGGGGCTGCGGGCAGTGAGGTCGGGAGAGAGGCATGAGGTGTGAGCTGAGATGGCAGACAGAAGCTCACAGGCCATGGCCAAAAGTTCATTCCACCCAAGGCAGCTTATGCAAGCAGGAGCGTGGCATCAGTCCCGGGATAACCTTAAGCCGGCTCAGCTCTATCCGCCAAACCATCCACAGCCTTAGTCTTTCTGTCATTAGTTTCAAATCAACTGACAAGCCACTTGTCCATCAGCGAGAGGCACCAGCATATGGCCATGCCTGCTTGGGTCTCACACATCTGAATCTGCTTCCAGAGGTCTCCAGGGTGCAGGACTCTGAGGGACATGGAAGCCACAGGGCAAACTGGCCGGTGCTGAAACAGACCCTGGAGTCACCGCTGGAGGGAGCCTGCTGATGGAGCCCAGCTCCCTGACTGCTGGAAAGGTGGGGCCAGCGTGCTCCTGGGGGCAGGTGTGCTGCACCAGGTGTTCCCTCCATAAACAAAGACACTGGGTTTATTTAAAATAACCTGTATTCCTGCTGGGGAACAAAAGGTATACACTTTGGGTGAGCTGAAGAGAGGGCCCAGCCCAGCCAGGGGAGGAGCTTGTGGTCCAACAGAGTTAAGTGTGGGGGGGTGGGGCCTTGCCCTATCCATGAGGAGGAAGGGCCTTCTCAGTTCAAGGGCATCCTTGTGAACTGTTCTTTTCCCCTTCATTACACACACACACACACACACACACCCTCACTTCTGAGGGCCACTGCTTCCCTGTCAAGCCACATGAAAGACTGAGAGATGGTGCCAGGGCCGAGGCCCGGGCAGCTGCCTTTGGGCACAGCTTCTCCAAGCTCCGATTGCTTACTTTCACGTAACCTCACGGTTACACAGGTCTTCACACAGGCCAAGACTCTGATGTATCTTTGTGCAATAAAATCACCCTCCCCCCC